GGATGCCGCACTAGGAGGAGACTCTATGGTGGAGAAACCGGGTTTCCGGTCGGCTCCAGAATTGAATGGGGGGCTTCCAATTAGGACTTTTGTGGCTCTTTGAGTGTTTAAGGTTGCCAACCCCTGCCCTAGTCATCACGAGAGAGGAAATATTTGTATGCCAATCTCAAGCTGGCTGGGGAATTCCGAGAGCTGAAATTCATGCATCTTCAAGTTGACACGGTTGAGAAAAACTGCTTTAAACAGTTTTCCCTGCGACTTCTCACTTTGAATTGAATCCTGTATTAGCCATTCAGTGTGACAAGGAGAAGTTGGGCGGCCATTATAAATGGATTAAATAAATAAGATGGTTTGCCTTTACAGGAAGGGCAATTCGGCATCAAAAGGACTTTGCCAGTATTGTGCTTTTAGATCACAGATACACCCGTCCAGCTGTTCTCAACAAACTTCCTCGGTGGATTAAAAGCAGAACCCAAATCAAGGATAGGTTTGGACCGGCTTTTGCAGCGCTAAGAAAAGTAAGTCCCGAAACCAGGCTCCATTGCAAATTCCTCTGAAATGTTAATCATCCTAGAGAATCTAAGCATCAATCAATCAAAGCTAGACTCTTTTAAGATTTATTTTCCTGCGGGTGAAATGTGCACATTATTATCTCTATTGACTTTTGTCACTACGTGCCTCATGTAATTCCTCATTTCTGTCTTGCAGTTCCATTGGGAAAAGAAATCCAATTCCAAGTCCGACTCTTCGTGAGGAATAAGGGATTTGCTTCCTCCGCCGATGCAAAATGTCTCCTGTGTATTTAAATGCGTTATACTTGTATTGTGCAATCTTAATTTTGAACCTGTTTCCCACCCACTTCCAGTCACTAAAAGTTTTTTCTAAACTAAATGAAGGTTGGAAAAGGGATGCGCTTTCTTCTGTTTATAGTGGAAACCGAGCTCTCCGCTGAAAGGATTTGGACAAAAACCTTGTTTTCCCTCTATTTCATTTTGCACACTGGTGCCTCTTGGACTTTATTTTGAGGTTATAATATATGCTATTCAAAGTTCAAGGCAGGTGGTTAATAAGGGTGTGCAAACATTTTGACATTGAATGGGAGCTTGAAGTGGTTATTTCAAGCTTAAATTAGCTTGTTCCAGCCATTCTGAATGCATTTCACACTCAGAAACAGCTATTTCAATTTCAAAATGTTTTCTATGCCACCAGCAGTCATCATTTGCTAAAATCTGCATGTGGGATATAATCGGTTATAGACTCCCGGTTCTCCTTTCTACTGAACCGTGAGATGTTTCAGTTTTCTCTTTCTTTGTGCCAAAACAGGGCTCACAGCAAAATTAAAAGGAACACACATGCTATGGCCATGTTTCTTGATCTTTGGCCATTGTAAGATGCACGGTCTTCAAATCCCAGAATTCCCTAGCCAGCAGTACTGCTGGCTGGAGAATTATATCCATGCATTTTACAATGGCTGAAGTTGAAAAACATTTCTATCTGGTGTATTAGCCAGGAAAGCTAGTGATGCAGGGATCACTTTTGAAGCACTACTCTTTCCTTAATCCCTTCAGCCCAGGAATTCTTGGCTTCAGTTTGCTATCCACCCTTCAGTGAGCAAGACGCTGAGCTTGTGGATCAGAAAGATCAGCTCAGCGGTTCAAATCCCTAGTGCTGCGTAACGGAGTGAGCTCCCGTTACTGGTCCCAGCTTCTGCCAATCTAGCAATTCGAAAGCACGTAAAAATGCAAGTAGAAAAACAGGAACCACCTTTGGTGGGAAGGTAACAGCGTTCCGTGCGCCTTCGGCGTTTAGTCATGCCAGCCACATGACCACAGAAACATCTTTGGACAACACTTTGAAACAGAGATGAGCACTGCCCCCTAGAGTCAGGAACGGCTAGCACATATGTGCAAGGGGAAACTTTATCTTTACATTAAGAAAAAAGCTGTTTACATAGGTTTACTGCTATTGGTCAAAGTTAGCTTTGGGAGGGTTAATGGAAGGAGCTGCTAAAAAACACTTTTTAAAATGTGCTTAGTAGATAGATGCTGATTTAAAAAGAACTTCATCTAAAAGGACTGGGCTACATTTCAGATGCAAAGGCAAAGGGGAATTGAAAAACGGTAGGGTAGATACACGCTGTAAAACTGTCAAAGCAGTTTCTGATTTCTCCAGTATGTTTTAAGATGTGTGGAGTGGGGAATTCTGTGAGTTGAACTTCCTGAGATTGAGAAGCACTGCATTAAACCAAAGGCAGCTTGCATGGTTTTAGGTAGGAAAAGCCTGCAGGCAGGTGCTGCGGGAGAGCTTCAAAGTGTCTTTTTTTAACCTCTGAATTGCTGCACCAGGCCTTTCCTTTTCTAAGTACTTGCTTTTGTATCATTTTTAATAGCTTACTTGATAGAAGAGACAGAGTTTCCTAGCAGCATTTGCAAACCAGAGAAGTATTACCGTATTTTTCGGTAATATAAGAGTTTCAAGTGGACTATCAGACGCACATTAGCTTTAAAGGGGGAAAACAAGAAAGAAAAATTCTGCCTCTGCCTCCCAGCATCCATTCGATGTTCATCTGGCTAGTGTCCTTGCAGCAAAGAGCTTGGTCAGCTTCAGCACGTTATCGCAACCCCAGCGCGTGGCTCATCAGGGCTCCACTCCAGTGCACCCACCACTGGTCAACTGAGTTGAGCTGCTGTCGTCGCCGGGGAATGCTGCAGCCGTCGCTGCCGATTAGCTGATTGGTGATTGGATTTGCCTCCTGGAATACCGCCTATCAGGTGTTTTAGGCGGCGGGGATCTCCGCAGCCCATTTGCATTGGGCTGTTTTTTGCCCTACTCAGGCGTCAGGGAAGCCTCCCGAATCCTTGGGAGGGCTAAAAACGGCCCAATACGCAAGCCAGAAGTTTGGGAACAGACTTCTGGTTTGCACGTTGGGCAGTTTTTCGCCCCCTAGAGGCGTCAGGGAAGTCTCCGAAGGGCGAAAAACAGCCAAAAATCAAGGCCGAAAAATCAGCTGGCCAGCACCCACATGTGTGCTGGAGCTGACAGGGCAATGCCTCACGTGACCTTAGAAATGGTTCTGTGTGCCACCTGCGGCACGCGTGCCATAGGTTCGCCATCACGGCTCTATAAGATGCACAGACATTTCCATTTGGGGGGGGGTGCGTCTTATAGTCCGAAAAATATGGTATATAACATGGTTCAATGAGCATGGCCCAGAAGATTCGCTTAGGTGGATATCCTGAGAAACATTTCCACCAACATGCAGAGATACCCAGAACAAGAGAACTAAGAGCCGAGGTGGCGCAGTGGTTAGAGTGCAGTACTGCAGCCACTTCAGCTGACTGCTAAGCTGCAGTTTGGCGGTTCAAATCTCACCGGCTCAAGGTTGACTCAGCCTTTCATCCATCCGAGGTGGGTAAAATGAGGACCCAGACTGTGGGGGCAATATGCTGACTGTAAACTGCTTAGAGAGGGCTGAAAGCCCTATGAAGCGGTATATAAGTCTAACTGCTATTGCTAACAACTGAGCTGCTTAGTCCAGGTAGTCTTCGACTTACAACAGTTCATTTAGTGACCGTTTGAAGTTACAACGGCACTGAAAAAAAGTGACCCAGGACTGTTTTTCACACTTTCACACTGTTGCAGCATCCCCAAGATCACATGATCAAAATTAATACTCTTGGCAAGTGACTCATATTTATGACGGTTGCAGTGTTACAGGGTCATGTGATCTCCCATTTGCGACCTGACAAGCAAAGTCAACGGGGAAACCAGATTCACTTTACAACCGCGTCACTAACTTAACAACTTCAGGGATTTACATAATTGTGGCAAGAAAGGTCGTAAAATGGAGCAAAATCCACTTAGCAAATGTTACACTTAGCAACATCAATTTTGGGGCTCAGTTGTGGTCGTTAAGTCGAGGACTACTTGTTCTGTTTTCACACACTGAGTTTCCATCCTGATGCTGCAAACAAATACTACCTTCCGCAACAAGAAGTTGAAAGGAAGAAGACGGGACAAGGAAAGTAAAGCAAAGCGTGCCTTTCTTTGAAACAGGTTAATGCATTTTCCTATATGCAAGCTAATAATGCAGCACCCTCCATTCCAGTTTTGTCCCCCGAAATGTGTTCTTATTGCACTTGGATGCAAAAACAGGCTTCTTTCAGGTTTTCATTTAGGACATTCAAAGCAAGTAGTAGAGTAAAATGCATATTTATATATATAATCATTGCACCGAGCAGGCAAAAGTCCTTTAGAGAGCTAAAAAGGATATGAGCATTGAAAGAAAACAGAAACTGTTCTCAGTAGTGGCTGGGTAGCCTCTGAAGCCTCCCAGCTCCCAGCAAGCAGAGTCTTGCTGCAGATGCCAAATGTTTTCACATGCCATGTTTTGGTCACGGAGGCTTTTTCTAAGATGGAAACTAGCTCTCGTCCTTGAGGACAAATTGCACGGCGGCAGATTCTTCTGTGTGCGTAATTATATTCATGTTGGTGTTCAGGATTGGATGGCAAAGTGGCAATATCCACTGTAGTGAGTATTCTTAAAAAAAAGATGGACGTGTCAAACAGCAAGAGGGCCCTCTGTTAAGCCTCCTTATGTTGCCTTCTGAAGTGCCATCTAGGAAGCCCAGTCGTCTTCGTCCTCTTCCCCAGCTGGCTGCTGTGGAGGTGGCAGGGGCGGAATGGTGTCGGAGATGCGGCCAAAGGCACCTGCTGGTACATTGGGCGCATTGCTGTCTCCACCAGCGGCTGGTCCTTTGCCCGAAATGCCTACGGGAGAGAAGACAAAATGGGACGTGGCACCAGGGGATCGACACTTCCTCAAATGTGCAGGCATGACATCTAAGTGACAAAGACGGGGTGTAAAGTTTCCTAGCGATGCCGTAACTGATTCATAATAATCGAGCCAATGTTTTAATACAAAAACCAGTGATTTATTAACAGCTTCATAGGAATTATTCATTAGGCAAGATTTATTGGCAGCCATTTTGGGGGGTTTGTTTATCTGCTTCTGAACTTTCCTCCCCTCAGTCTGTATCATAAATCACGTTACCCAATAGATACACCCATCTCAAACCAGCTACTGTAATCTGAGATCCGGCGGAGACGGAGAGTTGACACGGGGAAGTGCTGCCCCGGCAAGGAGAACCAAGACAAACAGAAACACATTTCTTAATTGACTCAGAATTTTGCACCAAGAGAGGCAAATTGCAAAGAAAACTGAAAGATGGAAACTGACCAAGGAGAAATTCAGCCTAGAAATAAGGAGGAACTTTCTGACAGTGAGAACAATCAACCAATGGAACAAGTTGCCCTGGGAAGCTGTGGGGTCTTCAGCACTTGAGACTTTCAAGAAGAGATTGGGCTACCATTTGTCAGAAATGGTGTAGAGTCTCCTGCTTGAGTAGGGGGGATTGGACTAGATGACTTATAAAGCCCCTTCCAACTCTGTTGATCAGTTAAATATGTTAAGATGTAAAACCTGCTACGGAGGAGGCTCCTATCTAGAACACTCATGGAAGCTTAAGTTCAGTGCTTTGAATCCAAAACTCAAAAAGTCTTCCAGAGTCAGTTTGAGTACACATACCACATCTATTAATGCTTTTTTTAAAGAAGCTGCATCCCCCTTGCCTTAGTATGATAGGTATATGGAAAATTGGTTGGAATTTAAAAAGTGCCAACAATGTACTGTACCCACTACAAAATACCGTGCAGTCTTGTCACTGCCTGCTTAACAAATGTCTATTTTCCTGGGATTATGGGGCAAAGAAGGAAGGCATTAGCAGATGCAGGCCTGAGTCTATTCGGAAATATCTTTCTGGCTTTGGGTTCAAAGTGGTGGATGTTTCTACCGTATTTCCCAGAAAACAAGACAGGGTAAAAACAATAAAATAACTAGAAAATTAGGCTTTTGACCCCTGAAATAAGCACTTGGCCTTATTTTCGGGGAGGTCTTATTATTTTTGAGGTGCAGGAGCAGTGGGCGTAGTCACCTCATAGCTGCTGCTGTGTTGCAATATTTTCAGGGAGGGCTTATTTTTGGGAGAGGGCTTATTTTAGCACATATGCTCAAAAGCCCAATTGGGCTTATTATCTGGGGAGGTCTTATTTTGGGGAAAACAGGGTAGAAAAACCACAAGCCTGTTGCAAATCCTGTGAAATAACAGTTCACCAAATCTGAATAGTTGCAGGTTCTCCATTTAGATGTTTAATACTTTTAGTTGGGCTAAAACCTGGAGCATATCTGTTTTGCCATATGGCTTGATCTTAGCAAAAATGAAAGTGGTGGGCTTGATGCTCTATGTCAGGGGTGTCAAACTGGTGGCCTGCGGGCTGGATTTGTCACACACAGGCCACACAACAACCCAGCTCCGCAAATGGGAAAAACGTCACGAAATATCACGTGACGGCAATGTGACGCAGTGAGTTTGACACCCGTGCTCTACGCAAATCAAACCTTTTAGCTCTCACTGTGCAGAATTGATCTTTCTCTGCTATTTCTTCCTGATAGCATTGTTCCCATAACCAGGAGAACCTGATTGGGTAAATAGCTAGAGATGCAGCCATACAACATGATTAACATTTTTAATGTTAGCTTTTGGATAACAGTTTGTTAATTCAGCCCACTTATTTAATTAATGCCTTAAATGGCTGACCCAGAAAATGGGTTGATTCAGTAAGAAGTTAAGTATGTTGCTTGAATGGGAACATACTAATCTTTTTTTCTGAATGGAGCTCAGAATGGTTTTGGCTGTTCTATCCTGATCCTGTTCTTGCCTCTCTGTCTCAAACACTGATGGTTTTTAATGTTAGAAGCAGCCATATGAAATTTGTAACTTATCTTTTAATCATAGTTACAGTGAAAAGAAAACTTTGTTTTCTGCTAAAAGGAAACCTTAAGTTTTGTTTCTTGCACCACTGCGGAGAAACCACAACAAGCTTCTTTACCTTTGCGCCGGAGGACCAGTTTGTTAAAAAGATCTGACATCAGATCTCCGCCTTGCTCAGTAGCTCCCACTGGAGAAAACACAAAAAGAGAAATCAAAGACTGAAGACAGGAAATGGGAGAAAATCAGGAATCTGCACATAAATCCGACATTGTTTTGGATGAAGTCTTCACATATGATTGCTATCCCTATCTATTCAGGCACTTAGCCACGCTGGGGAGAAAATATCATAGGCATTCTTGTAAAAATGGTTTCCTGGTGGATGTTCCCCATTATCTCCTCTAGACCAACGATCATTACATTTGATTCAATGTATCTATGAGTCACGGTGGCGCAGTGGTTAGAATGCAGTACTGCAGGCTACTTCTGCTGACTGCCGGGTGCCTGCAATTTGGCAGTTCAAATCTCACCAGGCTCAAGGTTGACTCAGCCTTCCATCCTTCAGAGGTGGGTAAAATGAGGACCCAAAATTGTTGGGGGGGAAATAGGCTGATTCTGTAAACTGCTTAGAGAGGGCTGTAAAGGACTGTGAAGCCGTATGTAAGTCTAAGTGCTATTAATCACTTTACCCAAGGTTGCAAAAACATTGAAAAGGGGAATGTATGTGTTGGGCTGGATGTGGTGCTTATGCTATTGGTTTCATCATAACATCTGAGTATTAAAAAGCTTAATACCCAATATGACAGCCATAATTACCCACATGCTGTGAGACTATTCTCTGATGGTTTGGTAGAATGTGCAGAGAAAATTGGAGACTACCATTCAGAAGGATTATCAGATTGGATGTTCTATGAAATCAGATAAGGCACCCTACATCTTTTCACCTGATACAGGGAACCTGACTGCAAGTGGTGTGCTAACTATCACAATAGAGACCCAGGGTATAAAGAGTACCGTATTTTCACGACCATAAGCTGCACTAAAAATCCTAAATTTTGATCCAAAATCGGCAGTGCGGCTT